ATTTTGGCTTGCATAAGTCATATGAGGTATTACTAGGTCAGTTTCACTTACAACAGAGAAAGTGACCATCACACATTTTGGATCTGCAAAGAACAAGCAGAGCGAGTTGCTACATGGTAATAGTATAATATTCTTAGCCTCTATGTCTTGGGTAAGAGAAATACTAAGAGGATTGAAATTCAAGTCAAGATGGGTATTTTATACAAAATTATGTAACCTATCAGTTTGTTAAAAATTAAAATTGTGTTAAATCGTGTTTGTTGAAGTCTTTAAGAAAAGCTCACATAACATCAGAAATAGTCTGTTTATGAGATAAGAACAGCTTAGGATATTATGGTCACGTGGTAAGAATTCAATAAATGTTGATACATTGCTGCTGTTGTTTTCGTTTTCCTAAAAGAAGTCTTTCTTTGGAGACAGGCAGTTTTATTTAACTTTCTGTTCTATTTCAAGTCTAGCCCTCCTGATCATTTAATTTTTCACTTCATTTTAAATTATCAGAATGATGTGAATAATACTTACTTTATATAGTCTTGAAAATTTAGAATAAATAAACCATAAAAAGCACCTACCAGTGTTTCCAGAAACTTAAGTTTTTTTTTGTGAATGGTGGCTATTCCTATTACAGTAATGAATGTATAAGTCACTGTCTGCAAAAGATTGCACTTAGAATGGGTTTTTCTTAGCTTATATTCAAGGGGGTCATTGGATAGAAATAGATGTTTTTTATTATTGATCATAAGCCAACCTCATGTTGACCCTATATTAGAGATCAAGAAAAAGCTTTAGGAAACTGCAATTACAGCAGCGAAAAAGAGAAGGAAAAAACCCACATTTCCTCAAATGAAAAAGAAATATGATATCTCAGGTAAAGTGTGTGTCCTATTTTTTCATTAGGCATAACGTTCATTTTGCAAAGCTTTTTATGAATGTTGCTTTTTATCTGAAAGACTTTAGTAACATTTTATAACCGATGGGGCAGACTAGAACTCTTAATGGAAGGCAGAATAGAGATGGGAAAATACATTTTTCTCTTTTGAGCATAATAAAATTATTAATAATCAAACACTAAATGATCAAAATGACCTTAAGAAACCACAGGAAAAGCTTGAGTGGCCAAACTTATAAAACAAACAAACAATTCCTGAGAAAACTGATTTGCAAGGCACAACCGAAGGGACTTTCAATCAACAGAAGATTTTAAAGAAACCTAAGTGAGAGAGTAAAAGTTTAGCCTTATTTAGTTAACCTAAAGTAAAAGTTAACCATCTGTGTGTTCAAGTATTAAAGTTACTCAATGGGGTCATTTAGATGGCCCAGCAGTAGAAAGAACCTGTCAGAAACTTAGACAATCCGGGATAGAACCCTGGGTCTACCTGACGTAAGGAAAGAAGAGGCTTTTGCACACTCTCACAAGTTATCTTCTGACCACCACACACACACCATGGTATGTGCACAACGACATTCACATTCACACATACATTAAATAAATAAATAAGTAAATAATAAATAAATAAATAAATGAGATAGATGATTTATAGATAGATGATAGATAGATAGATAGATAGATAGATAATGATAGATAATATATAGATGATAGATGATAGATAGATAGATACATAGATGATAGATAGATAGATAGATGACAGATGATTAGATAGATGATAGATGATAGATAGATAGATAGATGACAGATGATTAGATAGATGATAGATAGATAGATAGATAGATAGATAGAGATAGATTAGATAGATAGATAGATAGATAGATAGATAGACAGATGATTAGATAGATGATAGATAGATAGATTATAGGTAGATAAATAATAAACAATTACCAAATTTCTAATATTTTATTGCTCAAAGAACTCATTCTAAGAGAGATGTGTCAGTGGTTAAGAGCAGTTACTGCTCTTCAGAGTACTTGAGATTGTTTTCCAGGACGCTCACGGTGGCTCATAACTGCCTATAACTCCAGTTCCAAGGGAGCTGATGCCCTCTTCTGGCTTCCACGGGATGTTACTTGCATATGCTGCAAATCAACTCATTCAGACTCACACACATACACATAAGAAAAATTAATATAAAAAGAAACTCATTCTAATAGCAAAACTTAATGTGATCTGTATCATCAAAGTGTACTATTATAAAATTTACAAAGATAACAAACCAATTCATTGTACTACAATAAGGTTCTCAAAAGTTCAGTTCAAAGAAAAAATATAGTTACATAGAAGATGATGATGATGAAAATCATTTTGCTTATACAGAAATGGGGGAGATGGCATGGCTAAGGAAAGCCAAATGAATAAGTGGTCAAGAATATTTTGGATGGAGATAGAGGCAAAATTTCAAAATGGAAGTTCAGGAGGCAGTGGAAAAAAATTCTTTTTAGAATCAAAAAAGTACTTGAGTAAAATGCAGTGAAACTGCATTCAGAGCAGCTTTAAGATGACTAATGTAGCGTCAGGCATTTGTGAAAAGGTGAGTCGGGATAAAGCAGTGCTTTCAGAAAATTATCCTATTTGTGCCAGAGGAATTTATGGCATCTATCAACTGTTTAAAAACTACATCCATAGTTTTTATTCTATTTTATTGATAATTTCGTATTCTACTTACAGAAAGTGAACACTGTTTTTACAGGTTTCCACCCCTGCTCCTTTAGCTCTTACAGTTTCCACTGCCTCTTCTACAATATTTCTCAAGCCTTAAGTATAGGGATTGTATTGCAGTTGTACTGGTTGTGTCTGTGCACCCCAATGGCAGTTGAAATCAACTTAGCATGAACGTTGCCCATGCCCATAAATTTCAAAGCTAATTGGGTAAAATGCTTGGATATGTTGATTCAAATGTTGAGTAGGCTCTGTCAATTGAGCTACATTATGAGACACAATAAAAATAAGCATATATAAATAAGTAAAATATACCACTAGGAAACTACAAAATGTAAGAAAAGATACGTGAGGGAAACCTTTACCAAATTTGTACCCTGCCAAGCACTCAGCTCTCTTTGTTGGTATGAACTCTTCCTCTCATGTGTCCTCAATGCAATGCTGATATCAACAGCAAGGCAGCACTTCTTGCCTGGAGCTATTCAAAGGTGTCAACAGTCAGCATTTTTGCTCAACAATTTCATGCCTAACACATGTCATTAATGGGGTAAAGTCTGTGCACACCGTCTCTCATTTAAGTTTTTCAGCAATCCTTGTGTTGTTTTTACATCTGAGGAAAGGGAAAATTAGAAGCTAACTTATCCAAGGTCAACTGGAAATTAAATGACTAAACATATATTTGATCATCTTCCTCCTTAAACAACTAAACTTTTATTGTATATGAGTCAAGTCCCAGCTTAAAAATCAAGCAAAACATGCTTTAGGAAGAGAGCGTATGTATAAATACTCTGTGTAAGCCCACATTTGCATTTTGTGTTCATGTACACAAATATTTTATCAACCATGTGCTCCTTAAATAGTTGCATGCCTGATATCTTCCCTTTGACAATATTTTCCCTTTGAAGTCCTCTTCAATTTCATAAGGATTTTGTACTCTCCCTAGAGTTATCTTGTGGACCATGAGAGACCATAAAGGAATACTGCCTTCTAAGGACTTATTCAGGAAAAACCATAAAATGATAAATAAAAAAAATCAATTTACCAAGAGAGGAAATTGCAAAATATAGTTCAGCAAGCAATCCATCACTCAGCTTTCATGACCAATGGCTCCTTGTTTCCCTTATCCTTATTTTGAAAGACAACATGCTATTATTTCCGCTGCAGCCCATATATACATATATATATGCACCCAGCATCAATGGACACTTCAGTAGAAAAGGTAAATAAACAGCTTGAAATGGTTTTTTTTATAGAACACTCCACTTTCTAATTAGCTATGCTGCAACACACATGCAGCATTAGTAGATGTGGGTCGATCTGACACTAGCTGGATGTTATTCCACTGATTGATAAATGCTCAGATTTAGCAATTCAAGTACAATACAGTCCATTCTCTGCTTTTCCATCATTGTGATTGAAACATGTCTGAACACAATAATATTTGACATACCCATATTTTTTACATGACATAGTTTTTGTATCAAATAATTTGTTACTTTGTATTTAAAATTCAAAACATTAACTTGTGTACTAATGTAAAGGTTAAAGTACTGTTCATCTTCAGTTTTCATACAACCTTTGCAAATTTAATTAAGTAGATTACTGGTCCTGTGAAACATTTGAGATTATTCTGACAAAGTTATATGAGGCAAGATGTGGTTTTCGAAGATTATGGTCATAGGAGACAAAGATGTAATTATTATAGACATTGGTTATTTCTAACAAATACAATCAATTTGAGGCAAAGGAAAACAAAGGATCATCTCTGTGAAACTATATAATGTCATCTCAAAAAGTTAATGTCATGAAGCTAGGACCCAGAATAAATTTGTATAACCAAATAAAATTGAGAGTCCATAAATAATTCCACAGGGAGAAGAGCTATGAACTTAATGATCTAGAATACTCACTTAAAACTATAAGACTTTTGCTCAGATACAGTTTTGAAATAAGAACATAAATGAATGAGTAATGTGATCCAGAGCATAAAGATATTAGATGCTAATTTTAGAAAAATTCACAGCAGGTTGACTAGATTAAATATTTCGTGTAGAAAAAAAAGCTATTGCTGTCTCCAAATTACACGCAGTAAAATATGAACAGCTGGTTCCCTTTTATTGGTTTCCATGCAAAAATGATTATTTTCCACTGGGTAATTACTGAGTGATTTATTTCCTATATCCATTTGCTCACATGTTAATGTCCCTAAACACTTTGAGCAGGTCATGGTTTGCAAGTAAATGTGTTTGAAATGCTAAAGTTACAGTGATGATCAATGTGTCCAATTTTAATACATTTTCAATCACTAGGTAAATATATATTACATTCAATTTTCCCAGGACAATTTAAATAACATCAAATGAAATAGAAACATTTAGATGATACCAACCATGATAACTGAGCACAAAAAAGCCACTTGTTGTGAAGTCACTGTGGAATTTGATTAAAACTTGATTTGAAGTGCTGTATACTGATTCCAACGCAGTGTTGCCACTGAACTGACCAATCTGGGGTGAGTTTTGATCAGGTCCATCCCTATTAGACAAGGAATAGGGATGGAGAAAATGAGATTGATGTTCTACAGGGTTTTGAAGCAAGTTTAATGAAGACATTGCATATCATCATATCATTATATTAATAATAAAGATTCTGTAAGTAAAATAATCCTTGAATCAGCAATGATATTGGCATGCTATGTGTCTACATAAGTAATAGGATGTGTTAAAATGTAATATATTAAAAACGGATTATGTTTTAGCTAAATAAGAGTATCCATCTCTATTGTGATTAGTAAACTATCTTTCATTTTGGTACTCAGAATCTCTTATAGCTTGAGGTGTGCTCCCTAATATTTTCTTGGGCAGTAATTTAGAGAATCAGGACTGTTAAAATAAGGACTCTAAGAAGTAACACAGTAGTTCTGTTGATCAACTGTAGTTTAATTCAGATATTATCTTTATATTTTTAAATAAAGTTTTTCAATTGATAGATTAATAGTATAATTATTCTATTTTATAGGGAAGCTTTAATGACAGCATTATTATTTCAGGTTTATTTCACATTTTGTAAATATAAACTTCTTTAAACTTATTCTGATACTTGCCTGTTTTAGCACATTACCTAATAATTCCTTTAAATCTTTTTACCCCCATAATGTTTTGTTATACAATACATAAAGGCCTTACTGATTGCCTTGGTTACCATGCCAGTTCAGAGGGTCAGAGGGTGATTCATAATCAATTTCTGTGATATATTTTCAGCCTTAACTTACTTCACTCATAGTTGAATCAAACAAAAGCAATGGTCTTGGCTTACCATACAGTAATGAAATCATAGATAGGTTCTGTTTGAAGGACAGTAAAATTGATGTAGATTCCATTCCCAGGGGGTACTCTTACAAGCCAGAAACAGTCTTGAAAGTTGGGATATTCATCGGGATACCCAGGAGAATAAATGGTGCCATTCATTGCAGTTATGTTCCCGCCACAAAGCGCTATGGGAAAAGATAAACATGTTTAAAATAATTAACTAATGACAGATAAAAAGACAAACAAATCACTTTTTGGGTTTTTTGTTTTGTTTTCTTTTGTTTTGTTTTGTTTTTTGAGACAGGGTCTCCCTGTAGCCCCAGCTGGCCTGGAACTCACTCTATAGACCAGGGTGGCTTCGAACACACAGAGACCCACCTGCCTCTGCCTCCCGAGTACTGGGATCAGAGGCATGCACCTCCAAGACCTGCTCCAATCACACTTCTTAAGCAGCTATAATTTATCTGTTTTGTTTTTACCCCAATTGACAAAACTACTGCCAACATTTGTTTATTTCTCCATATAAAAATATGTTGCATATTTGGTGCACTACAAATTAAAAGACTGGAAAATTATATTTCTCCTATTTTTAATGCTATATACCAATGCA